TCCAGATAAATAGGTACAGAACTTACTTTTTTTTTTTGCCTGAAATATTGAAATAGTTTAGGTAAAAATACATTACCTGGATCAGTGATTCTCAATCCTCATGCTCATTAGAATTCCCTGGTAAGCTTTCAAAAATTACAGATCTCAGGCCCCTCCCCTGACCAACTAAAGCAGGGAGTGGGGCCCTGGCATTGTTCTTTCCGAAAAAGCTCCCTAGGTGATTCTAATTCATAACCAACATTAGAACATTGATCTAGACAGTTCAAGGCCAAAAAATTAAAAATACATAAATAAATGCCTGTTTGTGTTTTAATTTAAGGCACAATGATTATTGTTTCAGTGTCGTTTGTTTTAAAACCACCAGTGCACTTGGTTGCCTGTAGCTTTAAATACAAACATTTTTAGAATGCAGTTAAGCCCTTTTACAGTCTATTCTCAACCGACTTTTCAGGTCTCAGCTCCCACAACCCTGTTTCAATCTCAAAGTCTTCAAATACTCCCTGCACTTTAATTCATCCATGTTTTTAGCTCCTTGCTGTTTTATTTCTGTTATACCTGAACCTCCTTCTATGCTGGGGAAAATGCTACTTATCCCCTGAAGGCCAGCTTGAAAGCCATTGCCTCTGTGACACTGGCCTAATTTTATATAGTACTGATTTGTATACATTCAAATCATTTAAGTAATGTGGCTTGAATATAAGTCACATTGCTAGCAATAAATGTACAGTTAATAATACCTATCTTCAAACTCTAAGCATGCATTGACTATAGCGATTTTCAACACCTGTGCCATGGCAGGCACACTGCTGTGCTGCAAGAATTTTTAAAACAGAATACCTGGCTATTTAGTCAGGGACACTGACCTCTTTTCCCATAGATTGTCAGATAAAAAATGACAATAGCCAACACAATAATAGCTGTCCAGTGTGAATCAAAATTATACCTATTTTTTTGTCAGATAGGCAAAAAGTATGTTTTTTAGTGTGCCGCCGAATTTTAGTGAGTAGTTTATGTTATGTGTGCCATGAGATGAAAAAGGTTGAAAATTGCTGATTTTTTGTATTGCTGCTTAGTAGCAATAATTATGTAGGTAATCCCAGAAGAAGGCACTTGATTTAGATTTATGAATTATTTCACACAGACATTTTTGCGCTATGCTCTCAACAGTTCCTAATTCCAATATCTTTTATTCCAACTCCATGAGTCATTTTAAGGAAGGCCAAACTGTTTAACTTTTTTTGTTTGTTTGTAATGGGACTCTCCAGACTTTGGCCAAATGAGAGATATTTAAAATAGTAGGACATTCATATTCTTTTGATATGTTGAATTTTCACTTTTCAATTTTGGTTATAGTATGCATTTTCAGATAAGCAATAAGTGGATATACATTCTCTCTCTCTTTTTTTTTTTCCCACTCCTTTTGGCTTTGGAGCCACAGGAAACCAGCTTGCTAACTCCCTGATGATACCCGATATTTCCCTGACTAAAAAGACTCTCTGATGATGATCAGCATTTTCTTCAAGACAGAACTATGCATTCTTTTTTCCCTAAAGATACAGAGGTCCCTTAAAAGAGTCCAGCGTATTTCCTGAAAAACTGCTTCGGTCATATGAGCACCTATTAAAGCAACTATCAGAGAGTCCGAAGGAAGAAATAAATGCATTCTTTCTGTAACAGAAAAAACAAACACACCCCAAAATAGGCAAAGAACTTGAACATCAGCAAGATTAGAGACCAGGGGGGAAAAGTAAATAACTTTTAAAATGAAAATTATATTTAAAAAATAACAGATTATCCTTTAGTTCTCTAGTTTAAGTTTTCCCACTGTTTTCTCACTGCTGGAATTTTGTGAAATATACAGAAGCACTTGCATTAACATTTTGAATTTACATTTTTTTTTTAAATTAGAAATATGGTTGGTTTGTTGGGGGACCTGTTGGTGGAGTCTATAATTAGGCAGATTTCAATTACATCTAGTCACAAACAGAAGAGTTACTTTCCTAGGACAATTTCAGGGTCTCTTCAGATGGAAAAGAATTCTGTAATTGAGAAAATACTCAACTTTCAGGCACGGCCCATAACATCCAGGTAATTCCATGCCAGTGTGGAATTACACTGTTCATTTTCCCTCAAGTCTTTATTGGTCGTGATCTCAGATTCTCCATCAAACTCAACCCCTCCGAGCTGCAGGCAATACCCGCGCTGGCTGCGGACTGCAGACCCACCACTGGAGGGCGTCTGGACGCTTCCAAACAGCTCTGAAGCGCCTGGAAATCCCGAGCTCCCAGACTGGAAAGCGCAGGATAGACAACGTGATACTTGATTATATCGGGCTAATAAGTAAAGGGGAGAACAGGCAAGTTTGGGAGCAAAACTAAACTGCTCTCTTCGGGGGGATCAGCCTTTTCCCACTGCGGCCTCAAACTCCCTAGAGAGCCAGAGAGAATAATACCACTGAGGCGAAGCCCGCAGGGTTTGTAGCCTCGCTGCGCTGGGAGCCTGACTAGCGTCCCCCGCGCTGGCGGAGAGGGAACTTGCGTCTCGGGACGCTGCATCTGCCTCGCTCTCAGACGGTCGCCCTTCGGTGGCCGCCGGGGTCCAAAGTGCCGCAACCGGCTCTAGAAGCCCGGGAACGCGAGGCCTTTTCCAATAATAAGGGACCTTGTTCCTCGACACCCCCGACTTAGGGTTCTTCCCGTACCGACTCTGTTTAAAGCCTGAATCTTCCGGGGAGTGGTAGCGAACCAACCTCGGGGCTGAAATGTAAAGTGTGTAACGTATTCCTGCTGGGCTTCCCTGCCGCATCCATTCCCTCCCCGCTAAAGGTTCGCACTGAATGGTAATCACTCTACACTGTGATTTTCTTGATTTTTTTTTTTAAAGTGTTTCCAGAGCATCACTGGAAAAGAAAGTCTTGCTTCCTGCCCTTGAACCTTTAAATCCCTGGTAGGGAGAGGGGAGTTGAAAGGCACAGGAGAGATGTTCAGCTTTCCATACAACCCAGCGCCGGGCAATTGCGTAGGGCGCAGATTTACAAAAACACGTGATCACTGAGGCTTTCTGCCAGCCGGTCTGCTGGGGCTTCAGGTCACCTGAGGAGCCCGAGAGACAGATTTCGGCGGTCCGGCTACCGGGTAGGAGCCGGTTCCTTTGTAACTGAAATACCCTACACTCAGGTAAAAAGATGTCAAATCATTCCTCAGCCCAGACGGAATTCAGCATCCAAAGGGTTACGCGCAGCTGCTGGGTTCAGGCGGAGGAGAGGGCGCCTCGGCACTCCTCGTAATTCAATTAGTCAGGTTGCTGGAAGGTGGGGCCGGGGAGGGGGTAGGAGGCGTGAGCAAGGGCGGAGATTAGGAAAACGCCTCTTTCTCATGGAGCAACCAATCCGGTTGGCGTAAAGAGAGAGAAAAAACCTCGATCTGTAAGCAAACAGCAGGCCGTTCCCTGACTGGCTGCTCCAGACACCCCCCACCCCCCGCCACTTCCCAAGTAATCTGCCGCGCGGGGCGGGGCGGGGGGGGCGGTAAAGGGAGCGACCCACATGATTCGGGCCGCGGCGGCAGCAGCACCGGCTGGGCGCGGGTTGGCGGCGCCTCCCCCCACTGGATCCAGAGCTCACCCCCGTGCTCCCACCACCCGCCTGCCCCGAGCCCTGCGTTACACGCCTGCCCCTCCCCGCGCCGCCCACGTCCACCTTCACGCGTGCCGCCTCGCGCTCTCGTGCGGCTGCTGGGTCGGCGCTGCTGTCGGCTTTACACGCAGGTCATTAACGAGGGGGCGTGCCCGAGGAGATTTTTCCCATAAAGCATTTTTTCTCTCTTTTTTTTCTCTTTTGCAAAACTGACTTTTACCCCTTTCCACTTCTCGCCAGCCGTTTCAATCCCTCCCGGGCTTCCCGTGCTGTTGCTGCTGCTGCTGCTGCTCTCAAATTTATTTTCCCGCCTGGTAGGGGTTTTAGGATTCGGTTGGTGGTTTTCACCTCTTGTTGCTGCTGTGCCCAAGGAGGGAAAGGGGAACAGCTGCGGGAGGCTCGAAAAGGTTTTCTGATGTAGTCATCGGGGAGGTGCCACTCGCTCGTGCGCTTTTTTTTTTTTCCTCTCTCTCTCTCTCTCTCTCTCTCCATTTCAAACTGGTTGATGCGTCTCTACAAGTTGCTGGGCTTAGGGCCGAACCCATCGGAGTCGCAGGGACACTTCTGAGAGCTCACTCGGGGCTCTTGGCACTGCATCTGGGGGCTCATTCTTGCTCCAGGAAGGCGATCGGAGACTGACATCAATCAGCCCATCCAGGAGTTGGAGGGATTCATTTGAAAGTGATTGTTTCCTCTCCCGCTCTCCAACTGAGCTGTTGGGTTGGCGTCGTCCTGCAGGTTCGGGCATCCCAGCTCCGCCTGGCTGGCTGGTAGGTGACCTCTGCTCTTCATTCACTCCGGTGCACTCACACCCGACCGAGAACAGCACGCGCGAGAAATCCCCGAGGCCAGCGCCTGCGGTGTCCTCTCCCGCCGCCGCCGCCGCCGCCGCAGTCCGACTCCGCCGGGGGACCTGCTGGAAGACACGGACAGCCAAACTTTTTTTTTGAGGTTTGCGAGGCAAGACCGCTCCTCGCCAGCTTCGTTGCCGCTTAACCAGTTCCAGGACGCCGGCAGGGCTGGATTTGTGGCTCCGGATCCCCACCCTTCTCAGAGCACCGCCCCGAATCCGCAACACCTACGACTCCTCCGAGATTTCTAGGGGCTGTCCAGTTAACGCACAGAAGAGGCCACGGGCGCGAAGCCCCCCATCTACAAGGAGCTCTCCTGCAGTTTCCCATCGGCCGCTAAAGTAACTTGGAGCGAAGCGGGGCGCAGTGCTTGGGCCCTGGGCGGCGGAGACCTGCGCAGCCCGCGGCGCCGACGCTGAGCCGGGCCCGGCGGGCCAGTGTATGTCTCCCCGCGGCCGCGGCGCGCAACTCCCGGTGACTGTGCAGCGTGCGCCGCCGCCTGCTCCAACCCGAGCTGCTGCCGCTCGGCCCGGCGCGCACCTCCTTCTTCCCGGGTGACCGGCCTGCCGCCTCCTCCCTAGACACAGCTTGGCACTCTTTTCCCCGCCCTCGCTGCCGCCACTACACACTCGCTTGCTTCTCTTCATCTTGTAATTTCTTTTTTTCTTCTGAAGCCTCCAGTTGGGAGTGCGAGTTTGTATTTAGCCCCTCCACTCCACTGCCTCTTTTCTTCTCGCTCTCCACCCCCTCCCCAGCTTGTTGTGTGTCTCTTTCTTTTCTCATTCCTATTCACTTTTATTTATTCATATTTATTTGGCTCCCGCTCTCTCGCTCTTGCTTTCTCCTTCCCTCCCTCTCTCCGGATTCCTGCCCTCTCCCCGGAGTGGCGCGTCCGGGGCTCCGCCGCTGGCCAGGCGTGATGTTGCACGTGGAGATGTTGACGCTGATGTTTCTGGTGCTCTGGATGTGTGTGTTCAGCCAGGACCCGGGCTCCAAGGCCGTCGCCGACCGCTACGCCGTCTATTGGAACAGCAGCAACCCTAGGTAAGGCAATAGGGGACCAAGAGCCTGGGCTACTCGGGCCTCGGGGCCCTGCGGAAGGAGCCGCAGCGGCGGCGGGGACCAGCGCGCACCGCCTGCCGGCAGCGCGCACCCTCGGAGCCTACGTCGTCGCGGCGCTGATGGCTTTCCAGGCGTCCGCGGGAAGCGCTCCAGTTGCGCTCCTCTTTGTTAAGCCACCGCGGAGAGGCTCGGCGCCCCTGGGAGTCCCCGGGTCTGCCCAGACCGGCTGCCTCTGCGGAGAGCGAGGAGACTCGGAAAAGGCGGGAGCCGGGGAGTCAAGACTTTCCCTGCTTACCCTCCCTGGCAGGCTGGCCCGGCATCTCGATCCCGGTGCAGGGCTTGGGCACCAGCAGCCCCGGGTGCGCACCGCCAGGAGCTCCTGCCAGCATCGTGGGTGCGCGGGGACTGCAGGCAAAACCCGCCAAACATCCTCAAAGTTGCTTTCCCTCCCCTGTATTCTTTTTAATTTTTTTCTTTTCTTTTTCTCTGTGCGCTCAGAGAACGCACGGGCTGGGTGAAGTGAGGGGGGCTGGGAAGCGGAAGCTTTAGGTTATTTTCCTAATTAACTGCGAGGAAATTATCCGGCCCCTGGGTCAGGCTGGGCCTGGCGCACTTGGCAGTGGAGAAGGTTCTCCCACCTCTTCCACCTCTGGGTGGGCTCAAGGTGCCAGAAAGTTTGATCTAATGCGGGGTTACATCGTGTGTGCGGAGCTGCCGGAGTTGGCGGAGCAGGGAGATGGGAGCCCTCGGTCCGCGGCCTGGTTGTGTGCAGCCTTAGAAGCTCACACGGTTACCTGGAACCGTTTTTGCTGCGGTCCCCGAAGCCCGCCGTGTACGCGGGAGGCTAGAGATGGGCGCCCGGGACCGCCCTAGCGCGGCTGCTGGACCGTAGCCACCCGCGAACGTCCCTCGTTCACAAACCCTGAATTTGGGGTTGGGGTTGGGGTTGTTGTAGGGGGTTGTCCCGAGTGCCAGGCAGACCCTCCCCAGCCAGAACAGTTCCAGCCCTACTTTCTCCCGGGCCTGTGGGCAGTAGTCAGCCCCACTGGGCCCAAATTGTCTGCCGCTCTGGACCCAGGCCAGCTTCCAGCTGTGGGCTGGCCTCGGTGCCCGCGCAGGAGGGAAACAGCACCGATTATACCCCAAATCTCTGCTCTTTCCCTGGGCTGCAGTGGAAGTTGGGAGGAGAGTGGCAGGAGGCCGAGGGGAGAGTTCATGGTTGCTGTGCACCCAGCTCGCTTGGGGACAGGGGTCTGGAGGGCGCCTCCGATGCTTCCCACCTCCCGGTGGACCTCTCCACGGTCCTCCCGCCTGCCTTCCTTATGCAGGCATGGGAGGGATTCCCCACTTGAACTAATGTCAGCTCAGGTGAAGATGGGCAGGTTCACCCCCACAAGCGGTCCAACGGTTGCGGAACAGAGAAGGAGTCCACCCCCACTACCCCGCGCCCCCGCCCTGCTACTCCAGGAAAGATAATCACACCCAGGTAGTCCAAGCCCTGACTGCTCGCCTGGCAGAATTGGAGACATCCCTGAAAGTTTGGTTAAATTACAAAAAAAGTCTTCTGGAGGTGGGTAGTGGCTTGGGAAGCTATTTCTTCTTTGACATGCCACTTACCACTATTAGAAAAAGAGAAAAAGAAGCCATCCTGCCAGAGGAAATGCCTTTTATTAAAGCTGACAAGACAAATAGAGCAAGCTTTCCAGTTGTGATGGTGTTAAAAGCAAGCCTCATTATGCCGGTTGGTTTTATTCCCCCTTTGGGCTTTATTAGACAGCGTATACGAAACGGAATTGATATTTGTAAACTTTAGCCCCTTATTAAATAGAAATGAAATTGGTTAGTTGAATTTGGGACATTTTGCTCTTTGTAGCCTTTTCTTACCCACTCCAAACTTAACAGTGTGGTCTTGTTCTCATTAATTTATTTGGATACTTGGGTGTTCCATCATCTGGGTTAAAACAGAAAAATCCGCCATACCCCTACTCTGCCCCTCCCTCTTCACCTGTCAAGCTAGTCAGAGTGAGTTTGAGGATATTTTACCTTAGGTTGTCTCTGTTTTATGCTTTTGATACTGTTGTTTGGTTTAAGATTAGCACATTGATTTTTGTCACAGGTCATGTTTTCAGTAGATACGCCCTGCCTGCAGAAAACCCATCGGCTCAGGATGCCATGGTAGCTTTGAATCTGCCCAAAGTTAATCTGTAGAATTTTAAAAGACCAAGAGTATTTATTCTCAAGACAGTATTCTAACTTGAGGTTTGTGGAAATCCCTTTCTACTTGTTCGTTATCAGCTTGATAATGTTCAAAAGAAAGAATAAGGTACTTCTCCTCCCAAGATATTCAACCCTAACTTTAGTATTCTTCGGGGTTTATGGATTTATCTTCCTATGCTATTACACTGACCCTTTATTTTACAATAATTTTAAAAGTAGGTACTGGATGGCAGATTTATTTCTGAAATATTAAACAAGATGTTACTGTTCTGATGCAGTAAGTCAGTTTGGATGTCGTTTAAAAGGAGCCAAAATGCAAAATAAGTAATTTAGAAATAAATAGAACTCATCACAAAAGACAGAGAACAAATATTTTAAAAATTTGTACCAGTTTACTAAATTTTATAAATTCAGTGTTTTACATTTTCTTTTGATATATGTTATCATTACAAAGGTAGTCTTGCTATGACTTTTGGTTTTACATAAATCCTATCTTTCAAGATTTTGCTAAACTAATAATACAATCAAAAGACTTCAGTCTTTTAGAAAAAAAGAGAAAACTTTAATTGCAACTTAAGTAGGAAATTTCTTTTCTTAGACATTTAAAGTTCAGTGGACACATTAAGCTACTAATGATACTGTGCAAGTGAAATAAATATATTTTAGCGTATAGCAATGGACTTCAACATAAAATTGTGTTTACATAAAATTAAGAATTACATCTTGATCACAGGGTTTAAATGTTTTATAGTAATTTGTGTAGTCATGAGCTCATTCACTACATTGGGTTTCATTACTGACTCCATTGATACCATAAGCATCCATCGATTTAGATTCATAGAAGAAAAGATATTAAACTTATTTGCTGTCAGATAGTTTTGCTGTTAGAATCTGTCTTCCCAGGTATTCACTTCTGGGAAGTGGATGTTCAATTTTCAAATGCTGAAAACTTTTTAGTTGCCAGTATTTATTGGGCGATGGGCCAAACTAATTTTATGTGTTGCATTGGCACAAATCTCTGAAAGAACAACTGAAAACTATCACTGAATAGAAATATATGATACCATTTGTCTAAATGCATCTTTGCTCTTCAAAAAATTTGAAAACCTGTATGAGTTTCACCAAAGTAATGAGAGAATAGAATGATCCTTTTAATGTTATGCTGAATTCGGAAACCGTATGTTACTGAGTAACTTTAAGTCCAAATCCAGGGGAATATATCTGTCCTTCATTTCTTTAAGAATGTTAAAAGCTTTTAAGTAACTTTAAATAAAAAATATAACTTCATTTATATAATCCCTTTAGTAGCTACTCTTTTCAAGATACAGAAGACTCAATATAAAGAACATCCCACCTAATCTGAAGCATACTATACACAGTTTGGTACTTCCGATGAAATATTTTTCTAAACATTATGTATATATGGAGAAATTCTTGGATTCTGTTGACCAGTTTTCAAAATGATGCCACGATAATTAAAGATGTTTGGCGTTAATGGGTAGAATAGTGGCAAATTCAGCCAGCACACTTTAAGAATACTGACTCTCCTCACTTGGTGCTTTGCTTCTGTTAAGGTTTGAGTATTACCAATTTAAAATGTTATTCTCTTACAAGAAAACATACCTCTATAATTCATCTGGGATTTACTGAATTTTAGCCTAATCATATGTCTCCTTTGGACTTTCTCAATTCTTGTAGGGACTTGTAAATTAAATATTTCATGTGAGAGTAGCAGGTAATTGACACCACTTAGTTTTGTTAACATGTAATCTTGGAGTTGTGAAAGTGATGTGAATTCTAGGTCAACACTCCCAAATCTTCTGGCAGCATAGGTCATATGTATGTGGCTCAGTAGAGAGAAGTAATTTTTTCCCAGTCATGATCCCTGGGCATTTTTCCTTATTCAAAATTTGCTTGTTTTATTAAAATCTGACCCATCAGTGTCTTAATATATGTATGCCAGTGTGCTGGCACTGCCTTTTTTCCACTGAAAAGTAAATAAAATTAATTTGGTTTACCTCCAAGGATTTATTTTGAAGAAAGTTGGAAAGTTGATTTTGGTTTTGAGTAAATTTTATTATCAAACTTGTAACAGATTAACTGTTTTTGAAATTTTCAGTGTTTTAAGTAATATTGTTATATGTTAGAAACACAAAAAATTCTTCATGTAAAAGGCATTACTTAGAATCTTTTAACTTCATTAACTCTGAGCCTCCATGTATTATGTCATTTCAGTAGATGTGATGAGATAATTTTATTATTTTGATATTTATTTGTATTAGAATTTATATAAACCCTCGGATAAATATCAAGCTGTTTGACGGAGATTTTTATATCTCATGTTTTTTACGCTTACCCATTTAAGAAACCTGAAGTGAATCCTCCTTCTCTTCCCCTATTTTATCTAGAAGTGTGTAAAAGAGAATTGTGCTTCTGGTTTTTAACCAGTTTTCCGCAGAAGTTTGAAAAGGGAAGTTAGCTACTGTGATGTTATTTTTCCATCCATTTTATGCATTATGTTACATATTCATAATAAGCTATCCAAAGTGGTCAACTGTCTTTAGATGAGTGGAACATCAGTGCTATTGGAGGCTCACTTGTCCGTACAGTCTAATTGAGCATTTCCAGTGTGAGACCAAGGTTAATACTCCTTGTGATTAAAAGAATCAGAGAGGGCCTTCCATAGTTTATTACTCCCTGTTAGTTGATTTCAGTGGTATTAACTAAACCATTGGTTCACTGAATGGATATCTTGTTACCATGTG